TTAAGGTGTCTGAAAAAGACAGTAAAATAGCGGTATGCAGCGTGTGGGAAGCAGAAATCCTGCAGCTCCGCCCCCCGGACCGGTTAGCAGAGCGAAACACACAAGAGTTAGACCTAACACACTTAGCTACTTTATCTACCTCTGGAACAAGCTAAACTAGTTATACATATATTTATTCTTCACTGTCGGTCACTATTACTGGATCAGTGAGCTGCATGAGATACTGACGGGCTGTCAGGAGAGGGACGGCCCGTCCACACAGCGGCGTTGGAAGCTTCTTCAGACACGCCCACCTCCAAGCTTTTTCCAAAGCCGCTGTGGACCCCCAGTTGCCGAGCACACATTCGGATATACTAGTAAAAGACATTGCTACTTCTCGGGCGGAGGGGAGAAGTGGGTGGGGCCGAGGGGCAGAGGACGTACGAACACCCGCAGGGTCTTCTCCCCCTCTTTTTCTCCTCCCGTAAGTGGCAAAACATAAGTTATAATAATATAATATATGTCTCTTTGTCTCAAGCAATAGTTAAAAAACAAAATTCGAGTTATTTATTGTTTCTTCTGAGACTGCCGTAAAGGATTAAAACATGCCTTCTACAATTTGAATTTTTTTTGGCCTGTACAACTGTCCGCCTTGTAAAAAAAAATGCTTTGACGGCGTGCCAGGGGAGCAGGAACCTTTCCGTCCTCTCCACCCACCAAACAAGTAGACGACCACCTGATTGGACATCTCTATGTCGTCCGCTCTTGTGCGGGCAGGAGGCGCCTCTTATTTGTCTTTCCCGTTGGTACCGGTTGTACGAGGCCCAGAAGAAAGCGACGAAAACCACATAAAGCCCGACGTTCGTCGCGGTGAATGGTCCGGACTGTATACATGATTGTAGCAAAGGTCGTAAAGGTCGTCAGATCACACTTGCCTGTGAATCAGGTTAGCTTACGCACACTTGCCTTCGGAAAAACGCGAACGCTACGCAAAATGGCAGTACGCAGCAACACCCCGGCTCAGATTCGGTTTGATTAGGCCAGGTGTCTCTAGACGATAAAATTTCATTTCTCAGTTGTGTATATCTGATTATGGACCTGCAATTGAAGGTTTCTTGCTCTTTTCAGAATTGTATATTGTGCTGGACAAAAACATTTGGTAACTGTTTACACATCCCCACTACTGCAGTCTGCGTAGCAGGATGACACGGTCCCCGAATCGGGCGCCTGTCGGGGTCTGAGGTGTTAAATATTCGGGCGGCCCATAAACACTCGCCCTCCGAGCGACATAGTCACCGTACAGGGGTGACTTCCGAGTGTTTCAAATTGTAGTAAAGTAGTCGAAGTTGTCAAAACAGTTAGACAAAACAAATAACCATTCCTATGACCAAAGATTACAAAAGACTCTCTCAAATCGACCTTACTTTCTCGTGGTCAGATCGTCTTCGGTTTTTTCGTCGTATCGACCCCGTAATTTGGACGAAGGGTGTCTCTACCAACTTCAAGTACACCTTTCCTCCGGAAGTTCATCGACAGACGTGAGGAAAAAATCAAAAGATAGAATGTTACGTTATTCATTGTACACTCCATTTCACACAACGGTTACATTGGCCAATGCTTGAGTTTCAACGCTACTCCAGAATTTTACATACCCTTTCCCAGAAATTTTTTTTCCACGAATTTTCCATAATTTAAACTGAAGGTCCTAAGGACGTATATGGGACAAAGACAAATAAAATCCGATATAGACCAGGGTCGTAAAATGCCTAGTATTTGAGTACACTACGTACAATTACTTACACGTGACAGGGAAGAAGTTAAGTTTTTTTACAGACAGACCTACGGGTTTACGGACGGTCGTACAGAATAGGAAGACAGAGAGGTCCACAAGACTTCTTACAGTGTGGCCAGAGGGGAGGGGGGAGTCACTACCTGGGGTCTGTAGGAGCACCGGAAACTCTCACAGGACTCGAGACCGGATGGTCGCCCCCGTCGACTCGTAGCACCCGTGCTACTATATCAATGATGAGTGGCACCGGTCAAAGGCGATTTGTCTACACCGTGGTAACACCTGTTTACGTCGTCTCTTAGGCGACTTCTCCGGGCAGGAGGTCACTTCAGGGGGGAGACCTCTCCGCAACACCGAGTGGGGCCGGGGTGGGGACGCAGGAGCGGTCGTCAGCGGGGGTGCACCGTCATGGCTGGGACCGAATATAAACCTGCTTCCCCATCTTTCTTCCTCTTCTTTCGCGACTACGAACGGAGGAAATCGGTGTACCTCTGCGGCGCGTCGTCAAAGGATCTACCCAGCTGGGCGCCGGAGGAGTCGGTCCGTGAATCGGGGCTGAGAGGTCGACCCTGTGACGACGGGCCGGATGCGTCTCTCACTAATGTGGTCGACACTCCTCCGCAAGCCCATTCGTTCGGTACGTCTTTGGTCGGTGAAATGAGGTACTGACCTTCGCCCGGTGTTATCGGCTCACCGATACCCAAGGGACCACCCACTCCGAAATTTTCGTCTCTTTCAGTCCAAAGTCGTCGCCCCTCGGTGACGGGTCGTGACTCTCTCGACCGGGACTCTTCTAATCTCTCTCGCGACCTGACCACTACTCTGGGTGGTACTCTTCTTCTCCTTTCCTGTCTTCTCTGCTAACTCGCGTCTACTCCATCAACTCTTCACCTCCACCCTTCATTCCGTTCGAAACCGTTTTACCCTAGTGACGCCATTCTAGATTCTCGGAATAAATGAACCGTTGTTTATATAAGGATTACAAACTGAATTACCTGATTTTAGATAATTTTACAATACAATTATCTAAACCAAACATTGCCGCATGATACCCAAAGGCACCTAAGATTTATTTCAGAATATTCCGTTACTTGAGTAATTTGAATTTTTTTTTTCTTGCTTTACTTAACCCGTCATTTACTACTATAGGAACAATCAGAATTTTCTACATATGACACGTCTATTCCATTACTACATAATACAATAACGAGACATTCGTGAAACCTGACGGGTAGAACGCTACTATTCACGATAAATTTATTTCCCACCCGTCACCCGGTGTCCATTAGACGCAGACGGGTTTAAGTAGTTTTACTAATAAATTTACCCGGTTATACCCTCATCAGGTTACAAAGTTATAACGTCTTCTGGGTTATAATTTTCTAGTCAAAGTTAATCCGCTACGAGCTAGCGGTTAAAACCCCGGGCTAGCGGCCTTTAGTCATAGCCGGCTAATGGCTAGCGGACTTAGGCTAGCTCACCCCGCGCCCGGATTTTACTTTCTAAATTTTGTGAGTGAACATTTAGAAGGAAATTTCACTACAAATTTTGAGTCAATTACCCCGCGAGTAAGTGACACCTCGAAGGTGTTTGTTGGTTAGTTGATTAACAATGAAGTTTACTTTCATGTATATAAGTCTCAAAATGTAATTGAAACCTATTATTGTGCCCTCTTTACTCGCCTTCGCGGCGGAGAGAGAGAGGGAGAGAGAGAGGGGGAGAAGAGAGAGGAGAGGAGCAGAGAGAGAGGAGGGAGAGAGAGGGGAGTCAGAGGGCNTACATACAATCCTCTTGGATCAGCTAGGAAGCGATTCTACAATGATACACTATTTACATTTTATAAATACTGCTTACTTATATTTCCCTGAATGTGTACTTTTCCCCCTCTGTTGGACGAATAAAGGAATTCCGATTCTGATTAAAATATGGGCACCACAACAAACATCTACAGCAGTAGTTATTTGTAATATAATCCAAAAACATAATATGAGAAAGATATGACAACGACATGGATAATTTGACTGAACATATGAATTACTTATCACTCTTTAAAGGTGGGGTAGGTAATTTTGGAGAAACCAGCTCGAGATAGCTAGAATTTGAAAATACACAGCCGGAAGAAATCTGCTACTTACAGAGCCCCTCCTCCAACAAACACGAACGCGCACATGACCAATGAGGGCACGAGGTAAGTTTGTGCACAGATGGAAGGCTGACAGGCAGGTAGGCCATCCAGTTATTTTAGCCGGCTGGATTTTTTGTCAAAGCACTTCAGATATTCATTGCTATCGGGATGTTAAGAGCATTCCATGGAATATAACAAAAAGTGTATCTCGAGCCGGTTTCTCAAACTTACCTACCCTACCTTTAAGTACAGTATACTGATAATTCTTACTTTCTTATAGTTCAATGCAAGACTTTAACTTGAAGTGGGGTATTTTAACAGTGTGGTATTTATATTTTTATTTCAGTAAAGGTAGTGGATTCTTCTTCAATAAACAGAGTAAAAACCAATACATTATTATAGCTGGATGAATCAGAATCTGATTCGGTTTTATTACCAATTAGGTTTACACATCTGAGGAATTTGCTTTGGTATATGTGGTGCATACAAAGATACAGAAAGAAGATGTGACGAAGGTAACTTTGTCACTGTGGACTGACGGGCCTTGTACTATTGCACATGTGGTTTTATTTTGAAAAGTGTTTCCCTTTCCCCATGTCTGTTACTCCTGATTATGTTCATTAGTGTGTGGGTATTTAGGCTCTGTTTCCCTGTCAGTGTAGAGGTAGTGTGTGTGAGATCCTTGTGGCTGCTGACTGTGTTCAGGGAGGACAGTCATATTGAGGCTGGTGACTATGTGCACATGAGAAATAAATGCCCACACCAGGTTATATTTGAACTCTCTGCCTCTGACTCCTTGCTTGGTCGGGCCACTCAACGGTCAGCTTCACAGAAGAATACGTAGCAAAACAACAACAAAAAGGACTGTTGTGACAGCTATTTAAAAAAACGATTAAGACTATTATATAATTATTATTATTATTATAATAAATGAACAATATTAACACATGACAAATACTATATACTACTATTTAGTGGAGAGCTGTGCTGATTTAAAAGAGTATCTGTGGACACAATATATTGCAGTGTAGCATGGTGTACCTGGTCATGAAAGTAAGGCGAGGAGGCAGCCAGCACACAGCGGTGGGCTCTGAACACGTGGCCCTGCACCTGGATGGAGAGGTCACACAGCCGGCCCTCCTCCCGCTGCCGGTTCAGATTGTCTAGTACAGCAGCTCGGGCCCCGGGGAAACACACCTGCACCGTCAGACCAGCTGGGGCCGCAGAGTCACTGCAGGTCGGATCCATGCTAACACACCACTAAGAAAGAGAATATTTAAACATTACTAATTGCAAAAGTTTGGGTTTATTTAAAAAATATATGGTGCCTATAAAAACCTGTGCTTTGTACCTTTTTTGGTTTTGTCTTGTATCCATTAGATGTGCATGAGTGTAAATGTGTATTTTTAGTTTTTAAGATAACGTAGCTGATGATCTGTTCTTGTACTTCCTTCTGCTGCTTTGACTACTATGTCCTTATGTTGCATTCATGAAGTTTAGTTGGGCAGATTATTTGAAGAACTTGTACCAAAGAGTTGTAAGTAGAGTATGTGTTGACAACACATCTTGGTTGAGCCAATATCACAACACGAAAAGAGAGGCCATGAATGTAGATAATGCAGACCCAAGAGAAAACAATAACGGTGACACTTCAGTTAGGGCATAAGACAAGGAATGTAAACATGAAGCATGGACTTATTGCTACCTGATCAACACAAAGTACTTTTTAACTATTTTGCCAGGATAGACATTTATAGTGACTTAAATCAAATACAAAATGCCCCCTAAAACTGACCGTAACAATTAACGTTAACCGTTTACCTTTCGATATTATCAAACGTGCAATCCCAACTGTATTTAGTTTGATAAGAAGTTCATTCCACTTGATGATAACTACTACTAGCTAGCTAATGTTAGCTAAGAAGCACTACCTTGGTTAACATGGGCCGTCAGATAAACAGCTGTCCTAAAAACAGTATTATTATCGTGGAGGACAGCGTTAGTAACACTGTGTTGATTCCGTGTTAACTAGCTAACCAACGGTCACTTGTTAGCTAACAACACGTTAACTAGCTAGCAGTACATGTTAGCTTAGTTACTTTACCTTAGATATGTCGATATGTCGGGATTTTTGCTTGGATAGGGGAAGTCACTGGATATTTGCAGACCAGCATTATAGTTTGCAAACTCCATATACGAAGTACCAATGCATGTGTTGTTGTAAAAAGGCAAGCTCGTAAATGCTAACAGCAGCTTGCCCGTAGGCGTAGCTGATGCTAGCTGGTGGAGTGAACACTGAACAGCATCAGTGAGCCTCTCCATACTATAAAGACAAGAGACACACACACCTGAGTTTGGTGGTTTAGTTAATTATTATTAACCATGACAATATGCACGTTAACTTGAGGCTTTACCTTCAAGGCCATATCATTATTATAAAGATTAAAGCTGAACCCAAAAGTGTATTGGCAGTTATTGGAGGATATAGTGAGGTCATAAACATTCTTACACAATTAAAAACTCCTGTGTAATATAAATGTAAACAATAATCATAAAAACAAAAAAGGTATCTTAACATAATGAAAAATGTAATACCTTAATCGGGGGCTATACAAATAGTATTTATTATACAAGTATATGTTATGTCTTAAAATTAAATTCAACTAGAACAAACATATATTAATTTATTAATTAAGTAATAAGTATGCCCTACAAATATCAAGTATTAAAGAGTTTTATTGTCATATGCACAGTAGCTACAGTGTAGTTATGGCAATGGAAATCTTAGGTTCCAAACACCTCCAACAATGCAACATATTATAAAGGACATATAGTAGAGGAACAACCCCCCCAAAATGGCTTTAGTTATCGAGATACCCCTACCCAAGGTAGAACAAAGCACAACCATGTTTTTCCATTACTTGAGTATGTCTAGTTTATGAAACGGATTGTTGTATAAAAATATTTTACTGCAAAATTATAATTTTTTGGTTAATGTTTGGAACTTTCCCATAACCGAAAATAGTGAAAATGTAGGCTCCTCTGAAGGGGGCCGTGTTGGCCTTATCCCATGTATCTCTGGAAATAATGATCAGGATGTCACCAAATGTGGCCTAAATGTTCACAGAGAGGCAAGGCATACAATAAAGCAAAGATTATATCAATACCTTTTACCATCTTTGTAACATTAACACTTAAACACACATAAATCATTGGCGGAAATGGAATAAGACATTTAAAATGCAAAAGGTTTGTTTATTTTTCTGTAATTCTTTTTAATAAATAGTCCAATCACCCACAAATGTCATTTATATTTACCAGAGACTCTTATCTTTTCATACAAATAGTTGTTTTGACTATTCACTTCACCCTCTGCTGTCACCAGCCTCTAACAGCTAACCAGTGCAGCCAAAATGGCCGTCAGAATGGGGCCCTGTGGGCGTACCTGAAGGGACGGACACAAAGCATAGATTAAGAGATCAAAAAATATTATATACCTACATATTATATATAATAATGTGTTTTATTATAATCATTATTATATGCTTTATATATCAAACTTTCCCATTCCAAACACAGTTTTATTTTGTATTTTACATAACCTTTGAATAACACTGTTGATACTGTAGATACTGTGATACCATGAGCTAACTGGTTTCTTGGCATAATATTTTTACATGATTTAAAGGTCTCCTATCATGTAAAATGCACTTTTGTATGTCTTTCATACACAAATATGTGTCAGGGAACTCACAAAGTGTCAGAAAATAAAACCCTCTCTCTTTTCCTCCCTACCCAAATCTCTAAAAACGGGGCTACAACAGAGCTGATCCAGATTTGCTGCCAATATGACGTAATATCTGAAATGTGGACCCACGGCACTATCAGAAACGTTGCTATCAGAAACAATGCCCGACTGTTTTGGACGTAGTATGGTCTGCGTTTACATTAGCAAGCATCGCTAAAACTCAGAGCTAACCTGTACTGGAGAGAGTATAAGAAGCAGGAAATAAAAAGGAGAAAAAGAGTTTGAGCTCCATACTGTTTCAGAAATAATCGTTGATGTGGAAGGTTTAATTATTAGATTGGATAAATCAAAGAGTAATCCTAAATGATGTTTTATGTATATAAATGATAGGCTATACAGTACAGTATGTATTTATACACTGGGGTCCTTTGTATTTGTGTTATATAGCCTTTTGTTGTTGTTGCATTCATTAGTTGTATGAAGATGACATTTAGCCTTCTATTTATTATTCCAATTGTCCTTGTGGGAGCCATCAATGTACCTAATTGTTGCATAAGATGCCAAGATAAAAGAATATTCTTCACAATATTCTATCTCTCTAATAATGACACGTCAGGAATCAAATAGGAATTTCCCCCAATGTGAAACCAAAAGTTCCTCAATGCATCCAGAGCTCTTCATTTCAGTATCCTTCACATGTCCAAGGTTAAGGACAAGCACTGCCAACACGCAGCTTGACACATTATTTTCACATGATTTAACAAGAAAAATCAAAGATTAATAATCAATAAATAATCAATGAATCATAAAATTATAAAGAGTATATTTATACACTGGGGCCCTACTGGGGCCCTACTGCTAAAAAAAAAAAATGAAAGGAACACTTTGAAAACACATCAGATCTCTGATTTGGACTGGGTAATGTGTTAGGAACAAAAGAATGCCACATAATGGAAATTAAAATGATCAACCTACAGAGGGCTGAATTCAATGACACCCCGAAAATCTAAGTGGAAAAATGATGCGGCAGGCTAGCCCATTTTGCTGAAATTTCATTCCAGCAACTCAAAATGGTACTCAGTGCTGTGTATAACCCCCACCATGCTCCTATGAGACGATGGATGGTGTCGTGGGGTATCGCCACCCAGATCTGAGCCGGGCCGGGGAAGATGATTGGTCGTGCTTTTTACAGCACCTCGGCTTCCACAGATGACATTTTTTAATGTATTTATTGTCAAAGCATTTAATGTATTCATTGCTATCTGGATGTTAAGAGCATTCCATGGAATATAACAAAAAGTGTTTCTGAAGTTAATTACCTACCACCTTTAATACTATTCTCTGATTAAAAAGTGTTCCTTTTTTTGTGCAGTGTATTTGTATTTACTTGATATAGACAAATGTTTTTATTCCAATCAAATCAGTCATATAAAGATGACAGTTTATTCCAACATTCAAGATTAACATAGGTTCTCCAGTGAATACAATGAATAGACTGATATTCTTCAGACTTTCCCTTGTCCTTCATCCTGACACATACAAGCAGTATTTTATTTGATCATTTCAGCCAGTTGTATCTTTTTAACTCTTATTGTTAGAAAGGTCATAGCACAAAATGTTTGTCCTTATGCATACATACATACTTTGGTACTTATGCATTCTCTATTGGCCCCTTCCCACATCCACAGCTATTCTGATACCTTTACGGGCACTCCTCACATTACCAGAGAACATATTTTCCAAAGTTAAAGCACAAACTGATTCCTACAAACAGAGTCATTTGGAAAGCCATCTGCATAATCCAGAGAGCTTGTAGATTTTCTAAGGGACAATACAGGGGCAAGGAGTCTGACAGCACAGCTCCATCAACAGAAATATGTGGTCTGGACTAAGACCCATCTCTCCCAAATTAACCTTTCTGCCTACTTATACTATCCAGAGCAGATGTTTCAAAATGATTATTCTACACAGGGCACCTGGACCTGATGGCATCACTGACCGAGGTGTGTGCAGAACATCTGGTAGCTTCAGTCTGTAGTCCCCACATGTTTCAAGAAGTCCACCACTCTCTGCCTGAATGACCACTGCTCAGAAGCACTCACATCCACCATTATGGAGTGCTTTAGTTGTTTGATCAAACTTCTATAGGCTAGTTGCACAAGATGGCGTCTATCAACTTCCGGCGGCTGGGTGTGAGCCCGAGTACTTCCGGTCTTCGGTGTGGAGTTGTTTGGGGAGTTAGCGATATACATACGATAGATAGAGAGAGAGAGATAGATAGATAGATAAATAGA